TCCTACCTCCCTGGCTGCTCCTTCTCAATCTCTCTGGATGGCTCATCTTCCTCTACCTGAACAGAAAATGTTAGTGACCCAGGGCTTGGTCCTCTGCTGTCTTCTCTGTAATCTCTCGATGTGATCCATCCAGCTCCATGATCTTTAAACACCATTTATACCCAGGTAACTCTCAAATTCCTATCTCCCCCCACCCCAGTTGTCTCCCCACTAAGCTCCAGACTTGTATACCCAACTTCCTACTCAACATCTCACCTGAACCTCTCAAAAGGATCTCAAACTTCACATGGCCAAAACAGACTCTTGATTCCATTTATCTTCCTTACACTCTTCCCCTACCCCTACTAGCCTTGCCCATCTCAGGAAACAGAACTATATTCCATTATAATTACTGAAGCCAAAACTAAAATGTCATCTTTGATTCTTCTTTCCCTCACTTGCAACCTCCAAACTGTCAGTAAATCCTATCAGCTTTATTTCTCATGTATATTCCAAATCCATCCTCTTCTCTCTAGATTCCAATCCAACCACTCTAATCCAAACCATCGCCTCCTACCTAATAACTGCAATGGCCTATTAAGTGGCTTCCCTACTGCTGTTTTTGCTCCTATCCCTCCATAATTTCTTTCCCCACACAACAGCCAGGAGTGACTGTAAACACCAAGGATAAAGAATGTATGTTCCCTGTCCCAAATACATAGAACATTATCTGCCTCATAGTAGGCACTGGATGTACTACCCAGTGAAATGGTAGTCTCTCCTGCTGTTTCATGCTAAGCTTCCTCTCACATACGGAATAGAATCCAAACTCCTTACAATTTCTAACATTACTGTCAGGTCTTCCTCATTTCACATTCTTGCTCACTAAGCTCTACACTCACCGGCTTCTCATATTCTTCAAACTCCCCAAAGTCATTTTTACCCTGGAGATTTTGCCCTTTCTATTCCCTCCACCCGAACACTCCTCCGTTCATGCTGGACTCCTTTTCATCATTCAGGTCTCAGAATAATGTTACCTCCTCAGAGAGGCATTCCCTGACCAGCCTACCCAAAGTAACTCTGCCCATCCTCTGCCACCTCACCAAGTTTGCTTTTCTTCGTAGTACTTAACACTAGCTGAATCTCATTATCTGTTTACTTACTGACTGTATCCTCTCCACTAAAATGTAAGCTCCCTTAGAGCAGGAACTTTATCTTTCTTGTTCAGTGATGTACCCCTAAGAGCCTAGCACAATACCTGGTACACAATATTTACTGAAAGAATAATTTAAGCTAGGTAATTCTATGCTAGGTAACAATTTTTTTAATTAAAGAAAAACGGAAGGTAAAATATTGGTATGAAAAGCAATTTGATGTTTTTATGTTGATTATTCCCATTCTTAAAATAACTGACCTTACACAATAAAGTGCTCTTTTTAGAATATTATTTTTCTAGTATCAAATATGAAAATCCTTACAGTAGTAATAATAATATCATATGCCTTAAAAATTACATGGGTGATCACATTCTTCATTTTTTTCATGCAAAATTTATGGGAACTAGTTAAGCTATAACTCACCAAAATACTAGAGACTTTAACACTTCATCTTCTCAGAGTACACATACATACATTGTATCCCATCAGAAAAATCATGACTCTCTAAAATCATTCTGATCACAACATACATAAATATTCACAACGTGAGATTATCAACTCACCATTTATTGCTTGGCCTCAGATTAATTTACCAGCTTCATTCAAGCCAAGAAGTGATCAAATTCCAATTATTAATCCAGTTCATTTCACAAAAGTCATCACTAAAGTTGAGACTCACCCCTTAACCCCAATGTCTATTATGAAAGAACATGTCCAGTTAAGCTTAGGCTAAAGAGTTGTTTCACTGTTACCATAGTACTCTTGGGTCCATCTAATTCAGAACCACAGCAGAAAACATTATTTGTTGTAATCATGCCAGTTATTACCACTATCATTATGACATCACTGAACACTAAACACTATGGCAATGCATCATCTAAGAAGAGGTAGATGTAAAGTGCAAAGCAATGAACCAATAACATTTTTTCAGGTCAAATGTGTCCTATAACATTTTCTTTTTAGGACACTTTAAAAGTATAATATTCTACCTCAAAATGTTTTAAGGGTTGGTTATTTTTAAAATATTATTTATAAAAATGAAGAGACTCAGTATAACTAGATATTAGTAAGTACTCAAAATATCACTATATCATACTAGATTTCAAAAGCCTAAGGGAAATGCATCCTTCCTTCACCGAACTTTGAAACTAATATACATTTTGAATAGGGTAATTTCAAATGCACTCAACCAAATGCATAAAAGACATACCACCACTTGTCCTATTTAAAATTAGCCTTCTAACCACACTTGCCAATACAAGGTGGGGGAGCTTTTATTTGTCCTTTACAAGGAAATATTTATTTTATTTTGGTTTATAACACAATTACTAAGGAAAGCTGAAAAACTGTAGGTAAATCCAAACAAAATTAAATCTTAAAGCAAAGGCCAAAAGTTCAATATTTTTCAAACCACACTTACTATTCTTATTTTTTACTATCACTTCCTTAAGAAGAAAGTTTCCTCCGATTTTTTAGAAATCTGGTTCTACATTACCTTTGGTTTTCCCCTTAGTCTAGCCACATATTTGTATAAACAAACCAACCAGGACACTGGACATATTGAGATAAACTCATTTTAATACTAGAAATCATTTATGCCTGCCTTCACATAGGCCCTCAAGACAAAAAAGATTGCTGACAAACTCAATCAGAAGACCAGTTCCCTTTGTTTCAGACAAGCCCTAAAATTGCTCAAATTAGTCAAAAGATATATTGGACAATAATATTTCAAAGATATAAATTTTCTTCAAATTCCCAGAAGGGAAAAAAGATCCCTACATGAATCAACTCAGAGGTCATAATCTTGACTTCCACCATCTGCTCACTTGCTAAAGAAATCACACAAGTTTTCCACCTAAGGTATAACTTTTTAAAACTTTAAATTATTTTAAATATCTTTAAATATTTATTAATATACTTGTTTGAGAATAAAGAAACATAATAAATAATTACATATTCTTAGCATATAGCTGAAAAATTTTTATTGGAAAGCCAAGCCCTGATTTACCAATGGTTTATCATGGTCAAAGCTGAGATAAAATATATGCTTTTGTAAAGATATATTGTCCAAATTCCTTAAACTTGGATTTGAGGATATAAAATATCTTCTTCCACTATATTCTATGCCATAGCAAATGTCCAGACACTGCAATAAAACATCAAAGTCCTTCAGTTACTTAACTTTAAACACTAAGATGTTTTCTTCTTCATAGAAAATAATGCAAAAATGGATACATCGCTTCCAGTGATATACCTCCAAACAAGCTGCTATTATCACAAGTAAATTTTAAGAGATTGGGTTACAAAGACATTACAGATGGCTTTTGATATGTACAGATAAATTGAAACCATTCCCTCCAGTCCCCAGGGATACTGAAATATCTTCTCAATCACTGAAGTTACTTAGACGGCAGGATTTGTGAAAACTGGTAAGCTCAGAAACCTCTGAACTGCTGTCTCCTTCACAGGACAAATAGTATACAATTTAGAAAAAATAATTTTCTACCTTTTTTTTTTTTTTTTACTAAATTCAATCCTACATTAAATTAAATTATTTCTAACAGTGATGCAGGACTAAACTTCAGTGCATGATTTAAAAACTAACTCCAGATTTTTAAAATGTATATATGTCTTTTCTAAAAAACCACATCACAAATGTCTAAACCATCATGGAACTGCATTATTTGAAATTTCAATAGCAACTGGGTTAGTATCAGATAAATAGCAGAAAATATTACCACCAAAAGACCACTTCCAAATGCTGCTTCTGCCTTTTTGTCTTGTAAATGATAAGTTTGAAAACATATACAAAAACATCTAAGTTACACAAGTCTAGTGCAAACACTTTGTGGAGCAAGGTTTCAAGGTTACAGGAGCTCGTTGCAGGGAAATTTTTGACTACGTACATATGGCTTTTTTTCTGGATGAAAGGTCTATATAACTTTCAGCTTTCTCAAAGGGATTCAAAACTCATTTAAGATTAAAGTCCCTGGAAGGACAATCATCGTTAGGTAATTTGTCACGGGCGACCCAAGCCTGATTTTTTATCCCAAATTAGGGGAAGATTTATCCTAATTTGGTGGCTCCTACACAACTTCTGAGCAAGGCAGGCATGAAATGGCTGTACTATACAAACTGCCCCTTCACAGAGGGAACACGGCAAACCCCTAATTTTCCTTGAAGGGGCCAGAGAAAGGCAAAGGAATTAACACACCCATTGCTCAAAGGTCGATTGGCTCTCGCAGGACGTGCCCTCCCCTTACGCCGGAGGGGGCTACAGGGCGGCGACCGGGTTCCTGTGAGGGGCTGAAGTTCCCTAGGGGCTCAAGTACAGCGACCGCACCTTCCTCCCGCCCCAAAACGCGTCCTCAAGTAGCGGCTGTGGGCGCAGACACGGGAGACCCGGGCCCGCTTCCCACAGAGGTCGGGCGGGCGCGGAACCGCGGTGTCTCTGAACCGCCGCAGCACGGTAGCAGCGACCTTCCCACCCGGGTCCCCGCGAGCAGCAGGCAAGTCCCGTTATCACGCAGGTCACACACCCCAAGAGGGAAAAGGAGAAGGAGGACAGGAAGATGGACAACAAAGCCCGAGCCGTGGGGGCCCAGGCGAGCGGGATAGCTGCGGGCACTGGGGCTGCGGCCGGCGGGACGCGGAGCCGTGGCGCGACCGATGCGCCGGGATGCTGGGCGGACGCGGCCCGCCAGATGTCAGCCTGCGGGGAGGAAACGGGGCGCGCGGCGGCGGCGGCGGGGAGGCGGCCAGAGAGACGGCAGGCCTGAGGAGGGAGAGGCGGCGGGGTCCCGAGGCGCCGCGATCTGCCACGACCCCCAGCCTAGTCTGGGAGCTGTCCTTCCTGTTCCTTACCTGCTGGGAAGCTGCGGGCTCCGCCGGGGCTGTCCCGGCCGCCGGCCTCGGGGGCCAGGAAGCGCCCCCACATCGCCGACGGGAGGGCTGGGTGGGCCGGGGGCGCCCGACTCCCCACGTCCGTCCTCCCTTGCCTTCCCCTCGGGCTTCTTCGGCGGCGGAAACTTGAGCGGAGCCTGGGCCTTAGAGGCGCGGGCAGGAGGAAAAGAGGGCGGACAGACTGGCTGGTTAACGGCTGCTCAGCGACGGGCCGGGAGCGCAGGGTCCAGATTCGCCGCAGAGGCGGTGGCTGCCATGGCCAAGCCGGCTTGGGCTAAGGCCCGGGCCGGGGAAGCGGCGGCGGCTCGGCGGTGACGGCAGCTCGATCCCCGGCTGAGCCCAGGCTTTTCAAAGGCTCCAGGCGAACTTGCAGCTGCGGGTTCTCTCCGCCCCCTCCGCCAGCGGAGCCAGAGCCGGGTCTGGGGCCGAGGAGGGGCGGGGCCGGGGCAGCCGGGGGCGGGGCCTCGGGCGCTTACTTAAGACGTGCGCGGCGCCGCGCCGGGCGGAGGCTGCGGCCGGGTGGGTAGGCTGCCTTTTCTCCGCTTTGCTCCCCTGGTGGCGAACAGGCAATCAGGGACCCCCGGCCGTACCCCTACGCCCTGCGAGTTAAGAAGAGGGCGGGGCCCAGGGCCCTAGCCCGTCCCCCTCCTTTGGGTAATCCCTCACGCCTGCGGAGCATCTCCCTGAAGGAGAGACGGAAGAGCTGCAGCCGCGTCACCACTGCCAACCCAGGAGGGGTTGAGGGGCTCCCGGTTTCGCTTGGAATTAGGATTGGGATTAAAATCATCATACATTCCACAAACAGCGTTCATAGATAACTGTTAGGGATAGAAAAGAGGTTGTTTTCCTTAACTAATTTAAGGGGGGGGGGTACCACAGGCACCAGAATACCTACGACACCGGGATGTATGCAGGAAAAGGTTGAAAAGATGAAAAAGGCTGAAAAGATGAAAAAGGCTCCGCGGTAATTAAGACCAGAGGGTTCAGAGAGGGGCCCAGTAATCTAGTCGCCGGGTGTTTTAGGTGAGCAACCAGAAAACAGTCAAAATGGCACCAAAGTATATAATGGGACAGGCTGCCGCGTTGCCTCCTGACCTTAACGTTCTTCCTCCTCCTGGTCAGTGTCCAGCCTTCACCTGAACCCCTAGTGAAGGAGCAGACACCCTGAGGAAGAACAAAAAGGTGCAGCATCTTTTTATTTTTAAATCTTACTTATCATTGGCAATGTGATAATCCTTCCTACATTTAGTTACCAAATAGTTCATTTAATAAATACTGAGCGAGCACTGTAGTAGGAGCCAGGCTCTGCTCTAGGTGGATCAGTCAGAGGTAAACCAGAAAGCAAGTCCCTGACGTAAAGAAGCTTTGAGTCCAGTTATGCTTTTTCTTGTTCAGGAAGTTTGCTAACAAAGGCCCCATATTTGTATTTTCCTTAAAGACACTGTAATTGAGAAATATTGCTTAAAACTTTTAGAGGTTAAATTACATTTAGGTGTATATTGTATCACTTAAATCTGTGTTGTAATTTTGCTGATTGCAGTTTTACATTTAGTCTAAGGGATATGTAAATATGTAAATACAGATGATTAGATGAAATTTAGATATTTAATACTTTGAGAGGGTACTTTTAAAACATATAAATTAAGTCAGAAAAGAGGGAAATAGTACTAAAAACATTTAATACCAGACTGTATTAAACTCGTCATTTAAAATGTTGTATTCCAAAAAGAACACATTATTTTAAAAGTGAAAAACAAATGTTGCATTCATAATTCTTAAATTGGGATCTAAATCTCTGGACTGATCCAAGTGGTGCTATCTTACATGTATTTTTGTGATTCAAATTTATCAGATTGTGCAGACATGAACTAGAGAACTGAAGAGGGATATGACAATGAATAAAAGTGATATTTCAAAATTAAAAGAAAATCTCATGCATAATATGGAGAAAGCTCAAGAGAGCTTTATATTTTAAAAGATATAAAGTATAAAAAAATACAATATGTAAGAAAATTAAACCAACCAATAACAATTGAAATAATTCCTAAAGAATGATTGCCACTAGATAGAAAATGATTTATGAATGAATTCTATAAAATTCCAAGACTAGATAATTCTGGTATATCAAGGGTATATCAAGGATCATGATATACAACCTCTTCTAGATCACAAAAATAAGTTATCTAGTTTTTGACAGATTGTAGTAATACCAAAAATCATTTATAACAAAGAAAAAATAAAATTAAGAACACTCTTCCTTTTTAAGATGGATTTGAATATCTTAATTGGATTCCTAGCAGGAATAATTCAACTATGTAACAGTGACTAGAAAACAATTAGGTTGCTTAAACTGTCTCTGCCTCAATTCTCTCATCTGTAATTTGGGGATTATAATAGTAACTACCTCTTAGGACTACTGCAGGGATTAAATGAGTTAATATTTCTAAACTACTTAGAACAATGCATGCATGCACATTTATTGGTGACACAGACAAGCATACAATCTAGAAATGGAACTCTGTAATATCTCACCAAGAAAAAATAACATTCATTGGTGTAAGCCAAATCAGTTGTAGAAGATAATTTGTATACATTATCAGAATGAAGTAAAGTATTGATTGATATCTTTTCCTTACCCTTTAAGGTTATTTATTAGTCCAGGAATTATGGTGAAATAGTATACTCTTGAGAAATATTTACCAAATTCTTTGGGGCCAAGTCTTCATTCTAGGCTGTGATTCCCTGCCCAGTGCTACCAATATAAAGGAAGGAAAATTAAGGAGAGGTGGCTGAGTGGTCTGACTAGGCCAAGAGGGCAAAGACAACTCATCTTAAGTCCCTGATTCCTAAGAGGTACAGAAAATGACAAATCCCACCTATACCTTTGGTTCCAGAGTTAGGTTTCAATGGCCAGTGAGAAAGTAGGTAAGATATGGACCACTGAAGCAGTCCTTGGGATAGGGAGTGGGGGTGGTAAGGATGGAATTTATCCAAGAGATCAAGTCTTCCAAGGGACCGTTGACATTCACTGGCACTGCTTAGGACTGGTGTCTTTGTCAGTGAAACTTATTGTGGTCACCACCTGGTCATACTGAGCCTATGAAAAGAAGCAAGATCATTTACAGTGGAAGGTGGGGCAGAAACCTTGACAGTGGATAAGGAGACAAATTCTTCCCTTCCTGCCTTCCTTTTCAGACACTGGAGGGGTAAATGGAAGAATGGAAATGTGGAGGTCAGGAAAGCAGATCATGCCTTCACTACACACACAAACACACCCACACAGCCTCCTCTCTGACCTGCACAAGTGGAGGACTGTTGAATAACTGAAAATGTCCAAAATGCTATGGAATTGGATTGAGATGTACTCAGTGGAAGGGGGGGCGGTTTCAGTAAAGGATAGTTGCAAGGAGTTGCTGGGGGAAAAAACCTTCAAGTATATACTTCCAATGATTTAAGTCTTCTCACTAAACCAATTATGTATTTTATGCAATCTTCAAAACAATCTGTCATGAAAAATTGGTATTAGCTCCATTTTACAGATTGGCAAAAAAAAAAAAAAAAAGACTCAGAAAAGTTAGGTAAGGCCATATAGGAAGTAAAGAGCTAGAATTCAAATCTGATCCACATGACACCAAAGCCCATGCTTTTCCACTGTGCTCTTTAATATGTTGCAAAATAAAAATTATGAGATTTTTCTTCAGATGTTATGTAAGAAGGAGTTAATTATAGGATATCTGTATAGTGTTTAGGGGTCAGCTAAGATTGGTAACTGTGTGACATTAATCTGCGGTGCTGTGTGATTTTCTTTAGCTGCAGCCCGCAGTTTGAGTGTAGGAATAAAGGCAGATAGACAGGGTTTTGCGGTATGAGCACTTAGACAGGAAGAAGGGGCAACGAATTTAAGGATAGTCGCTGGAGAATAAAAGAAGTGATGAGGAACTGGATCTAGCCTGTCTGCAGAAAACAGTGAAATAAAGAGAGCTGAAATGTTGAGAGAAGATCGAGCAAATAAAGGAATGGAAGTTTTACAATCAAAGAGCAAATATAATGAGATTAAGGGAGTGAAAGTTGGAAAGATAGGACGTTAGGGTGAGAGAGTAAGACGGTGACGTTTAAGATTTCAGAGGTGTTGCAGTGGAGGAGTTCATCTGTGAGGCAGCATTGGAGGTGCATCCCTCTGAACTTCCGTCAGAAAGACCTTGATGTTCAACCACAAGGAGTGCAGCTGGCTGACAGTCTCCAGCTATAAGTGCCTGCATCATCTGCCTCAGCCTTTATTTTTACTTTATTGATATATAATAGATGTATATATTTGCAGGATACATGTTATAGCTTAATACATTCATATAATTTGTAAAGATCAAACCAGCGTAATTGGGATATTCATCAATTTAAATATTTGTTTTTATGCTAGAAACATTTGAATTATTCTAGTCTAGCTATTTTGAAATATACAATAGATCTTTGTAAACTAAAGTCACCCTACTCCTGGATCTCCCCAGCCAATGACTGAGCTTGTCAAAGGTACTGGGACCTGGCCATTCTTTCCAATACATCATCACTCTTTGCTCTCTAGCTCTCCTTTGTGTTGACTGAGATCTTGACCAATGTGCACTGTGGTCTGAGCCTTTCCTTTCAATCCTGCTTCCTGCCCCTTTCATCTTTACCAAGTGTTACCTTCCAAGAAACCTTTTACACTCCTAATTCCATTTTAGCATCTGCTTCCCAGAGAACCCAACTGACACAATCTATGAGGAAGATAAAGATAGAAAGGAGTTTGGTTTTTTGTCTATTTGTTTATTTTAAACGGGAAAATGGGAGATCTATGGAACATGATGATAGTGTTTCCAGGAGAGGACAGTATACCAAGAATGAGGTACCAGGAAGGCAGCATATGACAACATAGACTGAGACTGTACAAAGTATGGATAAATAAATGCCTATATTTTGAACAGCAGAGTAAGGCAGGATTGAGGGGAATGACAGGTTTAAATGGACTCAGAGTACTGTTTAGGCACATGAAACTCCTAGGGAGAAGGTCCCCAATGCTCCTGACTGAGCTGGGCCTGGCCG